GGATTTTTGGTCTAGATTGTTGGTCATATTTCTGTCAACTAATCAATACATAATCTTATTTTATATGTTTTTGTTTAAAGATACATTATTTAATATATATATTTTGATTCAGTAACTTTGAACTCCAGGCCAACAACATTATAACATGCCTGGAGTTCAAAGGTTATCTAAGAAATGCATTTTGGCTAAGGCCCATCACTGTCTTCTGTCACTTACGAACACTAAACAGCACTTCAGCACCGTGTTTGGGGGCCATTTCAAAAAGCACAAAAATACTGAAAGCATGGCACTAAAGAGCCAGGAGAAAGGATACTTGTTCACAGTGTAAAATCTGAAACAAGAGGATAACATTGCCTTGTTTGACCTCAACTGGGAACATGGCATGTTGGACAACTCAAATTTTTCTCCACCCTGCATATCTCTGCAAATGATTGCTAAAGCACCAGAAGTATTGATTTGAGGGTTACAGAAAATTAGGGATATTAACTCTTTGCTTGTTATACGTTGAACATTTTTCTAGTTTATTTGTATTTTTTCTTAATTGTATTTTTTACTTCTATAACATTTTATGTAATAGAGTTTATCATTTTTCTTATTGCTTCAAACTTTGATTCCAAGTTAGCAAAGGTTATCTATTCCCAAGTAATAGAAGAATTTACCCATATTCTTTTCTTTACTGTTTTTTCATTTAAATTTCTGGCCCATTTGGAACTTACATTGGTGCCTGGTATTTGGAATGAGAACAGTTATCTTTTTTCCACATTACTGTGCCATTCTCTCAACAATGTGTACTTAAAGGTTTATGTTTTTGCCCACTGTTTTGATAGGCTGCCTTTACCATATCCTAAATTTCCATATAAAATTGGGTCTATTCATGTGTCAGCATCAAATTGTTTTAATTATAGAGGTTTTAGAGTATGTTATGTCTGGTAGGGCTGGAAGCTCTTTTCTCCCTCACCCCATCTTGTTGCGAGTTTTTTTTGGTTTTGTTTTCCAGGATTTTTCTAACTATTCTTTCATACTTTTTTCTCAATAAACTTGTCATTTCAAGTCAATCTGTATGTCAAATATCAGACTTTTCTTTTGGCTTTCTACTGCTTTTTCCTTGCTAAATGGACGCTTTTAATTGGAACATTTTCAGTGGCCTGCAAAAGATAAATTTTCTCCTGAGCCAATGGAATGGATGTAATGTCCCACTGAAGCCAATGGGAGAGGCAGCCTTCTATTAGGCTTGCTCTCTTTAGGGAGAGAAGGGTTCAGGTTACTTGCACTCCTTGTCTCTCCTGAGCTAATAATCAGTGAGTATCTGTGCTACTGTCTTTGCGTGGTTAGTCAGATGTTTCATCACCTTCCTCTTTCTTTTTGCTTTTATTCAGCCTTTTGGCTATAAAACTCCGTACTTCCTTAAGATTTCATTCCAGAAATTAGTTGTCATCCTCGAAGCTCCTAAATTATTCCCTGAGGCACTCGATACAATTAATGTTTTCAACTACACAGTTAAAAAGAGGCTTTTGATGGGATCTCCTTGTGGCTCTCATCCATCCAAGGCAGCACAATTGACCCAAGAGAATCAGCCGAGAAACCATCATTATAACAGTGAGTGAGTTCAGTTAGGTCATAAAATGAATATATAAAAACTCAGTCATTTTCATGTAGAGGCAATTAGGAAATATAATGGAACACAAAGACCATTACAGAGGCAAAATGAATAAATATAAAATGCCTAGGAATTAACTCAATAAGACCATAGAGCTTAAATGAAGGAAAAACACTGCAAAACTCCACAGCAAGGCCTAAATAAACATAGTTTTAAATGTATCCAAGGACATGTGGTGCTTATAGTTGGGCTGTAACCCCTTGAGTGTGGCTCTTCCACAAAATATCATGGCCTGGGCGAGTCTATTTTGAAGAAGTGGCATTAGAAGAAGTTTAAGTTAAAAAAAATTTGGCTCTCAAAAGAAATTTCAATCATTGTACTGTTGATATTTGGCTCTGTTGACTAATGAGTTTGCCGACCACTGGCACTATGTAACCCAGATGATCCCAAGTGTCCCAGGTATATATGGTCTTAGTCTTTTCTTGACATGTGAATAAAATGGCCCTAGGCCACACCTTATAGAAAGTGGAACAGTTTCTCAAAAATCTCTAAGAACTTCCAGAGATGATCGAGGGGCGAGAGATGTTCTCCTTGATCAATACAAACTAAACTATTTCTCTCCTCTCCTGTTACTTGGTCATTCATTTATCCATGTATTTAATCACTGTACATTTATGAGTACTTAGCATGCCTAAGCCCTCCGTAGATGTCTACTAACCACTGATTGGACGCCAGTGGCTCCTACCTCTGTTTCTGATAACCCTTGTTTTGGGCTATGGTGTATTTTCTTTCATGTCCAGCTGAGCACCACCAATACAGGACTATTTTGTATAAGACTTTTTCTGAAGTTTTAAGGGTGCTAGTGGTGAATAAGCATTGTGGAGGAGAACGAAGGCAGAGTACATAAATACAAAAAGCATAAAAAAGACACAAGGAAAAATTAAGTTTTACACATCTTAAAGTTTGTGGGTCATTTCCTGTGGAGAAATTCTCACTTTATCCTTTATTCTTAGCTCCCACCTGCTGCTGTTTTCTAGAATTCTCTTTTTTCTGCCTCTTAACCTCATTTATCATCTCAGCCTCTCTGATTTCTGAATCACTTAACCCCTCCTTCATAGCTTTTGGGAACTAAAACCTCCTGTTATTTTATAATGGAGAGGAGCTTAACTATCTCTTTCTCTCCTCTTACTCATCCAGATGACACCAGGGGCTCTGGAAACTTCAGTTTTCCTAAGCAAAGAAGTCATTGAACTATACCACACCCCCTCTAAAATAATAGCACTTCTCACCTCTGAGAAGAATTCTGATCTCTGGAGCAACAGTCTAAAATATCATTTCTTTTCTCCTTACCACACTCCGATTCTGGAGAGATCAGGTCTCTCTTAAAGTAATAAAGCAAATAGAAGATAATTCCAACTACAATCCCAATGATTATTTTTCTGGAATGTAGTAAAATGAGGGATCCCCCGCCCCCAGCCCAGCAGTGCATGAATTTCATGCACCAGGCCTCTAATCTATACAATAAAAGAGGAACATGCAAATTGACTGTGCCTCCGCTACACCCACAAGCTATGCCCACCAGCCAATCAGGAGAGAGTATGCAAATTAACCCAACCAAGATGGCTGCAGCCATGGAGCGAGTAGGAGGCTTGGGTTTCCCCAATAATGGAGGAAGCCAAGTTTCCTGCCCACTCTGGCTGGTCCTGGCCTCCGCTCAAGGCTACGAAGTATCAATTATAGAAGGTAAATAATAAATAATACCAGGGCCTCTGCTTGGGTCACCAGGGGGTGTGGCCAGCTTGTAAACCACCACAGGCCCCTCGCCCAGGCCACCCCATGCCTCAAGGGAACCCCCACCCTGATCCCGGATATCCTTCAGGGCAAACCAGCCGGCCCCCATTCGTGTACCAAGCCTCTATCCCATCTAATAAAAGAGTAATATGCAAATTGAAGGTCACTCCAACACACAAGATGGCTGCCTCTATGTGGTCAAAGATGTCTGCCTCCATGTGGACACAAGATGGCCACCACAAGATGGCCTGCAAGGGAGGGCAGTTGTGGGCAATCAGGCCAACAGGGGAGGGCAGTTGTGGGGGACCAGGCCTGTAGGCGAGAGCAGTTAGGGGTCATCAGGCCTGTGCAGGAGGGGGGCAGTTAGGGACAATCAGGCTGACAGGCCAACAGTTAGGCATCAATCAGGCTGACAGGGAGTGGTTAGGGGGTGATCAGGCTGGCAGGCAGAAGTGATTAGGGGCTTAAATGGGCAGTTGGACATCCCTCGAGGGGTTCCAGATTGGAGAGGGTGCAGGCTGGGCTGAGAGACACCACCCCTGTGCACAAATTTCATGCACCAGGTCTCTAGTAAATACACAAAATACAAACTAAAGCAATGCGACAGAACATTTGCCTATTTCCTTGACAAAGATGGAAAGAAATTATAAAATTTTCTCATTGGGTAAGTTGTAATCTACTGGATATTCTCAGATATTGATATTGATGAATGTCAATTTGGCAACATATTTCAAAAGCTGTAAGTTGTGTCCTTGTGATTCCATTTCTAGGAATTTACTTAAAGTAATGCTGTGTGCCATTTAAAATAAACTAGTAAAGTAATAGTTACAGGGAGATAAACGTAGCATATACAGTATAATACATAAATGGAAATGGCCAATAGAAAGGCTGGAGAGATAGATAATTTGTATGTTCTTGTATCTTTTCACCTATACTTTCTGTTTAGCTATATTTTCCAAATATTCTGTATTAGAGGTATCTTTTGTAACAGAAGATAACAGAAAAGTTGTTTGATATAAATTTCAATCAAAAGACTTTTGGGTTGTTTGTTGTACACCATAGTGGAAATGAGATTAGAAATTTCTTGTTTCTCCCAGTCTGTGTGGCTCAACGGTTGAGTGCCAACCTATGAACAAGGAGGTCATCGTTCAATTCCAGGTCAGGGCACATGCCTGATTGCAGTTTCGTGAATCCCCAGTAGGGTGTGTACAGGAAGCAGCCAATCACTAATTCAATTGATGTTTCTATCTCTCTTTACCTCTTGTTTCCTCTCTGAAATCAATAAAAATATTTTTTAAAAGAGATTTTTTGTTTCTCTTATTTCAGGAGATTCGGGGAGATTAATTGGAAGCCTCAAAAGCTCCAAAGTCTGATTCTTACTCTCTAGTTACCCATATAATTTTCCTTCAGTGGTGTGCATAGTCTCAGGATTTGACCAATTGGCTAACTGGGAGTTTTATAACATACGCTGTTGTCAATTAAACTATGGTGTATCCCGTCTGAGAATGTGTCCTCTTCAGAGGCAGGTGTTTTAGCCTTTACAGCTAGGTTCATGTGAAGTTCTTTCCGATTATTGACTTGATGTAACAGCTGTCTTCTTCCAATTTCCCAGACAGAATCATGAATAAACTGGAGGACAAGCAGGACCAGATGATACCATGAAGAGAAGTTTACAGGCCCTCTATTGCCAACTGTTAAGTAAGTTGATGTTGCCTTTCTTCTCTCCTAGAATATACCAATGTTATTTATTGTTTATCGAGTGCCAGAAACTTATACACTTTCTGGAGGAAGACCAAGGTTTGGTCAATGAGAGAGGACAGTGAATTTTCCCTCTGCTTCATCTAAGTTACTCTATTGCCTTGGGTATCCATTGTAATTTAGATTCTGTTACAATAATTCTAAATTGACATGTTCAGCATAGTTAACTCAAGAATGAGTGTTAAAAACACTATTGCTCCTGTTTTTGTGGTAGAATAAAGGGTGTTCCAGTGTGACCCTCTGTAAGTTTCCTGGAGGGGGAATGGTAGGCTGTGTTTTATGAACTTAGTATCTTCACAGCCTTTGGCTTGGAATGTTTTGCATAGTTATGCATGTTCTTAAATAATGAGTGTTGAAAATGTAATTTCTTTAAGTTTGGTGACAGAGTGAAAAGTATTCAATTCTTACTCTCTGCGTGTTGCTCTTGTGTCTCGCGGGTTGTGCGACAAAGTGCCAGGTGCTACTTGGTGCCTGTCTAGCCTTTGAGACTGGAATCGTTAATGAATGAATGTAAAAACCAATTCCAGTTGGTGGGTTTGATGTTCAGAATGACCCACTCCAGGTTAAACAAAAGCCATTGAGTTGGGGAAAGCTGGAATTCACTGTGTTTGTCTGGTTCTTGCCGAGGTAAATAGAGGGCCTATCTTTCTTAGGCTGAGTGGCTCCTTATTAACTTTTGCCAAGAAAATAGCATGAAAAGAGATTGAGATGCAAATCACCAGTCAGCCCTTAGAATTTAGCAATTCAGGTTATATTGCTCCCCAGTTCAAAGCACTTTATCTACAGACAGCATTCTGGATGGTATTTTAATCAACTCATTTCTGCTGCTGAATTATAATCCCTGAAACACAGATCACGTCAACCCATTTTCAGCCTGGTGGATTGTCGCCAAGAGTTATAGGGACTCTTCTGTCCTTTCTCCATGTATTCCATAGGACTGTGGGTTTGTTGTTGCTTCTCTTTATTTTTAATGATAAGCTTTCTTGTTAAAGAAAAGGCTTTACAGATTGAAGACGCAATGTCATCAAGGAATGATTAATTCTGCTTTTCTGGGAGAGGGGACATCTGAAGGATAAATAAGATTTTACACACACACACACACACACACACACACACACACACGAAGGGAAGACAGGCTTTGCAGACAGAAGAACCAGAAATGGAAAAGAGGATAGTCAATTTGGGAGGCAGCAAAATGCTTTTCACCTATGCTGATTATATGCCCCAAAGTTTGCATAATATTATAAAGTCCAATATTATTTGAAAGGCATAAAATGAGTATTCCATGGTTTGAGTCGAGTCTTATGCTATCACAAGGCCCTTTCAAAGAAGAGCATATGCAAAACCTGAAGAGGTTTCCTCAAAGATTATTTGGATCGCTGCATAAATCTACTCTGCCTTAACACTTTCCTTGCAAACTCGCCTAGCAATACAAGCAGCCCAGAGTATTGTAGCAGTTTCCTACTGGTTAGGAGGAAGGTAGATAGTGGCCTTCGATAAGCTGCTCTGAATACTGGGTAGCTGGCTGTGGGCTAGAGCCCAGCTTTGTTCAGAGCTGGGAGGGTGGAGCACTCAGGCATTAGATTCAATTAGTATGACTTCAGAGCATGATTTTCACAAGCTCATTGAGATGAAGGACTGTTAATTGTAGCATTTTTTTCTCATGAGAGGAATTGGATATTTAGGAAAATATCTGCTATGCATGCACACACATACACACATAATAGCTCACATATATCATTGGTCAACCAATTAGTAAGTCATGCCTAGTTTAACAATGTCCACAAACAAAATGTTGTTCAGTGTCTAAAATAGACTTGAGAACAACAGAACCAACATAAATTTAATATGTGACTTAATATAACTCAGCAAACTAATGTTTTTAATTTTGAGTGTGTGTGTGGGGGGGGGGCTGATAAAGAGAGTGTTCTGATTATCTTTTGTTGCATAACAAACCACCTCAAAACTTTGTATCTTAAAGCAATAACAGACATTTATTTTGCTCACGAATGTGCAATTTGGGCAGGGGTTGGCAGAGACTCCAGTGTCTCGGATCTGGGCTGGAATAACTCCAGCAGCTGGAGACTGGAACAGCTGGGGCTGGCCCGACATTTATTTTCCCCTGAGGCCTTTTCACATGACACAGTGGGGCTTCCTCACAGCCCAGTGGCCCCAGGGTGTACAGACTTCCTCCTACATGGCAGCTCACGGCTATGAGGCCAGGGCAAAACCTGCAGGACTTCATATGCATTAGGCTTAGAAATCCCAAGACAGTGCTTTAGACACATTGTGTTGGTCAAGGAAGTCACTAAGACGAATCCTGGTTCAAAGGGTGAGGGATTGGACTCCACTTCTCTACGGGGAAATTAGTAAGAATTTGTAGTCACCGTTAGTTTACCGTAGAGAGTATCTGTTAAAAACAAACAAGCAAGCACTTACTTACTAGTGGATTTGAGCCAGTTCATGCGTCATAATCACCAGAGAGAGAATCCTCGCCCTCTTGAGTACCTGCTGTGTTCACAGACATCTACTGATCATTTTCCCTGCATCTTCTCATTTATCTTAAAGGTACCTGTTTTAAGATGAAGAAGTGTTACCAATGAGTAGGTTAAAGACTGGTCCATGGTGACCCAGTAGTGAGTGATGAAGCTGGGATTCACACGTAGGTCTTTCTGACCTCCCTGTTCATGCCTATCTTTTCTTCCTGTCTGGCACCTCATCTCACCACCTCTCTCCTTTATGCCCCTACCCCCTACCACACCCCACTTTACCTAGTGCAGTGGTCGGCAAACTGTGGCTCGTGAGCTGAGGTTTACCGCTCTGTTGACTAATGACTTTGCCAATCATTGACCTAGACCACATGTGTCAAACACAAGGCCCGCGGGCCAAATCCGTCCCGCCAGGCCTTGCAATGTGGCCCACACCGTGCTGTCATCACTGCACTCCGCTGCGTTTCCATCACAATGACAGTTTATGACTGTTCAGTAAACCATTCGGCCCGCGATTTAGGCTGGATTTTAGATTTTGGCCCCTTCTCTGATTGAGTTCGACACCCCTAACCTAGACTCTTGATTTCAATAATTACAGGCTGTTGTTGTTCCGTGTGATTAAAGCTCTATCCCAGTGGTCAGCAAACTGATTAGTCAACAGAGCGGCAAACCGTGGCTCACAAGCCGCAGTTTGCTGACCACTGACCTAGTGGATGCCCGCAGTGTGCTCCAGCCACCACATCAGGCATTTCATCCCCCACGAAATATTTAGCTCTGGGTCTGCATGTACTTGTTTCTCTGTCTTCCAGCTGCTTGGGTTTAGGGACTCCATTTCATTCATTCCCCTATCTCTAGCCTAATCTACACCTTGAACTATAGTGGGATTCAATATATGTTTAATGTAATTACCATATTTTGTCAATCTGCAATTTTATTCATTGTAAAATACACTGTTATTTATGAACCACTGAAGAAGAAAAAAATGCTGCTTGAACTATAAAACTAACACATACCATCAATTACATCTTACAATGTGGAAATACATATATGGATAAAATAGAGAATTACTAGGATGGATTATGGCTAACTGGGTTACATAGTCCCTGAGCTCCTGCCACAAAATTCTGCGTTAGGGCCAAGTTTCAGCAAACCCATCTGTATTCCCAGCTCCCACCCCAGGAAGGCTTTATGTTACAAGAGAGCTTCCCATTGGAAGCTGGAGAGAGATCGGAGTAGCTGGGCTGTCACTAAATAAAGTGTGCTCATGTAGTCTGTCGTCACGGTTGGTTTCTCCCGGTAAGTGAGAGGACATTTTCTCTGAGGTTAAGAAGGAAGAGTTGTTATAAATTGTAACTGACATAGTAGTTAGGTCTAAACAAATTGTTGACTTCAGAAACGTAGGTTCTTGCCCTCGCTGGTTTGGCTCAGTGGGTAGAGCGTTGGTCCACAGACAGTCAAGGGCACATACCTTGGTGCCAGTCAGGGTGCTTTGCAGGAGGCAATCAATTGATGTGTGTCTCTCATCAAGGTTTCTTTCTGTGTGTCTCTTCCACTCTCTCTGAATATCAATGGAGAAAATATCCTCTGGGGAGAATTAACAAAACTAAACAAAACAAAAAGAAATGTGGGTTCTTTTAGATGTTACAGGCAATCGTAAAGACATTGCCTTGTGTATGTATATGAAATGAGGGCTCTTCTACTCCTCCTCCGGCATGAAGGTATTTTCCCTTCCCTTGTTCACAACACCCTTGTTCCCTTGTCCTAACCTCCATAAAGGAGACCATGTGTCAGCCACAGTTAAGGGCTTGGATTCTGGATTAAGATTGCATGAGTTCATATCCTGGCTGACTATTAATTCTTCCCAAGTGATTTTCACCCTTTTCCATACAAAGCATACCAACTGAGGGGGCCTCCCCTGTTAAGCAGCTGTTGGACTATGTATGCACCACCCCTTGCAAATCCATCGCTCCTGATGCGACTAACAACGCTGCTCTTGAGAAAATAAAGGAGCTTTCTGCTCCATTTAGTGGCAGAGAGCAGTTCATCCGCCTGCAGTTCTCTCTTGGAACCACCAATGGCTATAATAATGGTAATGACACGTTGGTCTTCTGTCAGATTATGGAAATGGAAGCATCCGTTTCATTGACAGTGCAATTTAGTTTTTTAGACTGGATTACACTGATTGGCTTTCATCAGTGTTTCTCAAACCTGCCTGTACACCAGAATCCTCTGGGAGCTTTCATCAAATTCCCTTGCCTGGCCAGACCCCAATCCAGATCAGTTAAACCAGAATCTTGGGGGGAGGTGCGTTGTGTGGGGCCTGGGCATCAATGATTCTAATGTGCAACCAGTGTTGAGAATCACTGGCTTAGAGCAGTGGTTTAAAGCTTCATCATCCACAGAATCACCTGGAAGGCTTGTTTAAATACAGATTGCTGGGCCCTGCCCCAG